ACTTTCGAACGACAATTTTTAGATTCTCAATGCATGTTTTGAATCAACAATCCAAACCTATGACTTGAAATTCCAGTCTGTCTTTTCAATAACGTTTGTCTTTTTGATAACGTTTCTCATTTTAATAACGAATATATTCCGCACGTTTGTAGCCACATTATTTAATTTAGACCATTTCCAGGTTCTAAAACTATCACAAAAACATCTCGATATTTTAGTTCACAAGTTTTTATATTTGTATGAAAAATTTGAATGGAAAACCCAAAGTGTTTCATTTGACGATAATTTAGTAAATATTGTAACAAGAATTCTGAATGAAGGATAATTTTTTTTCTAAATGGCCTTACGCTTGTTCAGGTAAACCGGAATAGTTGGGTATGAAATTATACACAATGACATTTCAATTTCAAATATCTGAAGTTATCCTTGCATAAGTTCAAAGATATTTTTTGTTGAGGTGCTAAAATATGTATACTTACCAGATTTTGAAAATGCTTTGCTCTCATGAAAAACACAGATCAACGAGAAAATTAACACAATTAATCTTATTTGGAACATTTTGGTGATGTTGTAAAATGCACTATGGAATAACAAATGCCTCGTTAGCAATTAAAATTTATATCTATAAATGTTATCATGTTATTTTGAACAATTCCCAAAGTAGTTGATAAGATGAGTAGGGGTCACAGAGATATAGTTATAAGAAAGTTGTGAAATATCAGACACTGAAAATGTTAATTATTGTTAATATGATGTTAACAAAATTATAAAATTTGTATAGGAATCGTCAAATAAAAAAAAGAGATCGGAGACTTCAGCAAATGGTACAAAAATATTGTTTTTTTGTCTTGTATTAATATTATGCTTACATTTATTTGGTACAAACAACTTGTTTCTATTCTCGAAAACAGACAAGCATAAGTCAAAAATTAAAAGACTGGGAACAGTTAGAATTCTAAACTGATATGAAATATCATATATGAAATAGGTATAGGTAAATGTTTTGATTAGGAACTCACAGTGGCTCTGCCAATTCAGACATTCGTCAATGTGAAGACCTAAAAATTTTAAGCTCGTACATTCTGTTGTTACTGTATCGGAATTATCAATTGTTCTGAAACTGATGACATCACATTCCCGTTGCCGATGATGAAATCTCATTGAATATGTTTTCTTCGCGTTCAAAAACAAATTGTTCGTAGAAAACCATTCATTAATACTTCCAAAAACATGCTTATATTCTTCTTTCAAAACTGAATCTGATTTGTCAGAGATTATAATCGACATATCATCTGCATACATTGTTATGAATATTCCGGGCGTTGCACACTCCAAATCATTTATGTACAATACAAATAATATAGGTCTCAATATCGACCCTTGAGGTACTCCTAATTCGGAGAAGGCCATGCTGGAAGTTGTATTGTTAATACTTGGCGTTATGTAATTATTCATAACAATAATGATAAATAATTTCAGGAATATCATATAAAACTGATCAAAAATTGTTACAGTAGAAACAAAGACACGAAAAAACTGGCTTATGAATTATTGGAAACATCAATAGTGTATTATAGAATACAAATTTTCTAACTTTTCAATTTATAATTGCTTTCAAGCCTTTGTATGTTCAGGAAGATATTCTGTTCTGGTCTAAAATAAGTCACTTTTAATCGAAAGATTGGTAGCAAAGACACAGGTACAAAGATTGCTCACATAGCTAATTTTGAATGAACTAGTGTATTGAGTGTATTTTCTTTCGATTCATTGAAAAGTATCAGCAAGGAGTTGAGAGTTGAATGTTTTTCAACCAAAACTTTGAAGTACACCTCAAGATTGACAGTTTGGACGTCTGTTTGTTCATTGGGATTGTGTATAAGGAGATAAGTTTTTTGGGCTACTTCTCTGTGAATCGGATATGCAGTTATTTCAGTGGCACTTATAATAAATTCAAAGATATTCAATTACCCTCTTTTTTTAAATGCAATTTTATCCATACATTTTGGAGACATTCTACACTGAATACATTCAATATTTGTTCTTATGTTTACTGCTGACAAATAGGTTTGGCAATTTTTTCACAGTCTTCCTCTTTACGGAACATGTTGTTGGTTTCATGACATCCTCCAAAGTAATCCTGAACACATTTGTTTTGGGAATTACTCCAGGTGAATACTGGAATATCGGCCAAACATGAATATCCATCTGGTCCTGGTACTTCTACAGGCAACCCGCAGTCTGGAATCAAAAGGTGGAAACATTCATATTGGTATATTCGACCAGTGATCTTGGATTATCGAGTGTCTCAATATAAATAAAGGAGATAATTTATCTGACATAGCACTCAAAACAGCGGCAAACCATATATACGTGTTTCGAGCTTTTGGTTCATCATCAGGTTGTCAAAACTTGACATGGAAGTTTTGGGTACTAATCTTGTAAATCCTAAAAAACACTCAGACAGGTCGATTTTTATTGGGAGGGGGACAGTTCCTTCCCCATTTACAGCGTCGTCATTTCAACCCCGGAGCTGAGGGGCGAACAACCCTTGGAATTTTAATAGGGAACTGGGGACGAGCCGCACATCGTTTGAAAGATCTTGGAATTCTCTAAACAACGGTGTATTTTTTTTTTAATTTGGACGAACCATATGAAATTTAGAGTTGAAGTTACTTACTTTATTCTCATGTTAGCATATGCTCAAAATGGGCACCTCCAGCTTCTATGCAATAAAAGAGATTCTTCTGGAAACGTTCTCGAACATTGTGGAGCATTTCTGGTGTGATTTGGCGACATTCATTTGTGATTCGTTGCCGTAAATCTTCGAGTGATGCAGGAGGAGTACAGTAAATTCTGCTTTTAAAATGACCCCACAGAAAGAAATCTAACGGCGAAAGGTCTGATGATCGTGGTGGCCATTCGATAGTGCCCCGCCTCCCAATCCAGTAATCCGAAAAAGTCTGATATAAATACTGCCGAACAGGCAAAGCATAGTGCGGAGGAGCCCCATCTTGTTGAAATATTAACAGATCCTCCCGATAATTGTGGTCATTTTAAATAATATCAGTGAGAAGGGGATTAATAGTATCTTCCAGAAGCTCCAGATACATTTGTCCGGTTAAATTGCCTTCCAAAAACAATGGGCCAACAATACGATCACTAAAACTTCCAGCCTAAACATTTAATTTTGATGGACGTTGAGTATGCACTTCATGAAAAATGTGAGGATTTGAATCAGCCCAATAGCGATAATTATGGCCATTAACTGTGCCATTTAGAAAAAAAGAACATTCATCACTGAAGCAAATGTTGAAAACAAAATGTGGATTTTCTACCGCTCGTTCACTTACCAACTCGCAAAATTGCAAGCGTCGATCGAAATCATCTTCATTCAGTTCTTGCGTTAGTTTAATCTTGTAAGGATGCATTTTGTGGGTTTTCAAAATACGCCGAATGCTAGTTCGTGACACCCCGGAAACAAATGCTAACTTTCTTGTGCTCAAAGTATGGTATAGTAATAATGTAAATATCACTTTCAACATAAAAATGAGAAATAGAAACACCATTTCTCAAACGTAACAGTCCTCTTATCAGAGAAGAACTAAAGAATTAATGAAAAAGTAGCGTAAGAAACAAATGAAAGAGTTCCAAATACATTCCAACTGAGCAGTGGCGTACAACAATTTGTTGCCATTAACAATATTGAAAAAGTTAATTATCAAAAAGAACTCTTTTAAATACACCATTGTTTAGAGAATTCCAAGGTCTTTCAAACGATGTGCGACTCGCCCCCTATTCCTTAAAATTCCAAGGGTTGTTCACCTCTCTGCTCCGGGGTTGAAGTGACGACGCTGTAAATGGTGAAAAAACTGTCCCCCTCCCAATAAAAATCGATCTGTCTAAGCGTTTTATCGGATTTGCAAGATTAGTTCCCAAAACCTCCATGTCAAGTTTTCGATGGCGCACCCTGTATTATTTCACTTTATGATTCGGTTCAAATCCCACTCATTAATTTGCATTTCCCTACTACATATCTGTCTGTTTAAAATCTGTTTTTCCGTTAACCAGCTGTCGCACCCCTACGAACGACAACCCTCAGAAGTCGAAACTTGTGCGAGCTAAGAATTAACGAGGTCTTACCTTTTAACGTGTGATTCCTAACACGGGTTGGACGGTAGCAAGTGAAGATCGATCGCTCAGACTAGGGCTTGAACCACCGACCAACACGGCAGTCAATTCGAGTGAGTGAACAAAGCACCCACGCCGAACCGCTTGGCTACCGACTGACTGATGTTCGGAGGGAAATGAGTTTCCAGTTGCTTTTATATAATGCTCTCTGGTTTCAACTTTCGATTAATCGATTTTTTTTAATTTTCATCCATTGGACATCCGTTTGTGGGATTTCAAATAGAAAGAATGTTTTCTAGGATATTCCTCTCTGAATTGAATATGCATTTCTTTCAGTGATTCTATTGATAAATACAAGGACATTTCATGACCTATATGTAAACGAATTTTATTCTCAAATTTTGGAGACATTCTACACTGAATGCATTCAATATTTGTTCTCATGTTTACTGCTAACGAATGGGTTTGGCAATTTTTTCACAGTCTTCCTCTGTACGGAACACGTTGTTAGTTGTGCCACATCCTCTATAGTAATCGAGTACATGAATATTACTGAAGTTTTTTCCCAACACCAAATCGTTATTTTTAAAACCTCGACACCGTGTTTCGGTCACCAAGTGATCATCTTCAAAGAGGAAGATTAAAACTAGAAACTAATGCGAGCTAACCCTATTTATGCTATATGGGTAACCCATACAGGTAAACCACACAGGCGTACCAGCCATACAGGTATACCAACCTAAATTAATTTTACAATTTTGCCTTATCTATTAGTTTACAATATATGTTTATATAAAACAATTTTCAGCTATATAAAAATAACAGGCATTTCTTTCAGTGGTTCTATTGATAAATGCAAGGAGATTTCATAATATTTTTGTAAACGAATTTTATTCACAATTTCTGGTGGTATTCTACAGTAAATACATTCGATGTTTGTTCTTATGGTTACTGCAGACAAATGGGTTTGGCAACATTTTCACAGTCATCCTCCGCATAGAACATGTTGTTGGTTGCACGACATCCTCCATAATAATCCTGTACACATTTTTTTTCGGAAATACTCCAAGTAAAAACTGGAATGTCGGCCCTGCATACTTCTCCATGTGGTCCAGGTACTTGTACCGGCAACTCGCAGTCTGGAATTGAAAGGTTTTTCAAAACTAGTGGACATTTTCATATTGGTTGTTACTCTGTACAACAGAGCAACGTCTAAATTGGTAGCAAATTGCCAAAAAAGAGTCTCCTCGATAGGAAGACTTAACAGATTGTCTCTGGTCTAAAGTCCTGGCCATACTGGCCTGGAAGGCAATCAGGCTGCTGACTCTCTTGCAAAGAAGGGTGCTGCAAGCAGCTTTATCAAACCAGAACATGTCATTGGCATCGCTTTATGCTTTGCCAAACAAACCTTGAACACCTGGATGGAAAGAAGATTTATGGACTTCTGGCAGAATCTTCCAGGATTGGCTCACTCCTAGGCGTTTATTCACCCTTCGAAGCTTGATACCAAACAGTTGTTGGACTACAGTAGTGATGAACTACGATGTCTAACTGGCCTTCTTACACTGATATCAGTGCAAGAAGGCCAGTTACTAAAGCACTGATATCAGTTTGTTTCGCGAAATTTCAGTCCATTATTTACAACAACATTGCTGCCTGGGGTTTAGCATCTGAGGTGGTTATAATTGGTGGATTGGTGGACATAACAGAAAGCATTACTGATGCAAATTTTCAATCTAGATTACAGAATGTCACGTAAAGAGATTTTTCGTCAAAATGAAATACTAACTGTTGCCTGTTTGTTCATTTTAAAAACAGTGACATATATCCATTAAAATAGAAGACAACTAGAGTCGAGATCTGAAGTCCATAATTATCATATTAAGAATAACCATATGTTCATCACCCAAAAACACCATCACACAAAGTAAAAAAAGGCTCCTATGTTTGATGATATCCGTCTCTTCAATATACTGTCATGCGATATGAAGATACTGCTACCTCAAGTTTTTAAAAAACAGTCGAAAGTGTTTCTATCAAAAAAAGGTTTCTACACATAGATGAATTTATACTTGAAGTTGGTAATGTCAGAACACTGTCATTGTGACGTATATATCGTAACATGTTGTTTATTTATCTATTTCTATTTTTTTCTTATATTTTAAAACGTATGTGTTTGTTTTACAATGTGTGTCACGTTATTTTTTTATTCAAATGACATCTTATAATAGTACACATGTATACTATACCTGAGAAATATGACCTGTCCCATTTAAGTTCATAATGTAGGACTAATAAATCTATCTATATATCTACTGTCATTTGAATCATCATATGCAGAGACTCGGACTGCCGGAAGACAGTGTGTGTCGCCTCTGTTTGGAAAATGATGAAACAGCAGAGCATATACTTTGTGCCTGCCCCGCTGGGGACCGAAGCAGGTTTTTAAACTTTGGCAGAGCCGTACTCTCAGCATCTGACCCGAAAGACCACTCACTAATTGGCTTCATCAAGAGGTTGGGTTTATTTGGTCGAGTGTGAATAGGTGTGAGCCACAATAAACCCTTGCGGGTTGCGGTGGAGGGTTGAATAGGCCCACTCACTTTTGGACCTAACCTAACTTAACCTGTACAACAGAAACGAACAAACTAATGAAGTTTCATCCGATAATATAGAATTCCGCAATAGAATTCAGAGACCCATCTGGAAAACTAAGAACTGGATCCCCCCAAAGACCGTCCAAGGAGAATAGGCAGGTGGATATGAAAAAGGAAGATTTGGAAAAGGTTGAATGGGCTGTGAACCCATTATTTCAATCATTCAATGTTGATTACTCAATAATGGTACAAAAGGGTTCGGAACTTTCACTTCAGAAACTGTGTCTAGTTCTAAGCGCATTTGATGCTGGGAAATATTCCTAAAACATTGAGATTTATTTATTTTTTTTGTGTGTTTTTTGCGGCATCAACTGCTAGGTTATTAGCCGCGGACTTGTTGTTTGTTTTTCAAATTTCATCTATTACATTTGCATCTTTCAAAAATGCCATCATGTTGCTCAACGTTCATCTATCATCACATAGAATTTCTTTCATTGCCCCAGTTATATTATGTTGTCTCCTGGTTTCTTCATATTTTGGACAATCTACAAGTATATGTTGTACCGTTAGTACTGTTTGGCATGTAGTACATAGAGTTGTTGTTCTCCTAGGAGCAAGTAAAGGTGTGTTATTTTTGTATGGCCGATTCGCAGACACGTGAGAACAACTTGTTCTTTCCTGGTCAATTTTAGTGGTGAGATTCGCTTATTCAGATATTTATTAGTGCTACTTGGTAACTGGAGGAAATGAACAGAATTTGATAAATGCTTTGAGACCAGTCTTTTTCATTGGCATTGAAAACATAAAAACTACTTGACAGGAATGTTAGGAGCCCCATTTATCAATTATTTAATTCAATACCCCAGTATTGAATTTTGCCAATCCTTTTGGCAAAATTCAATACTGGAGATCATAGAAATTACCGGAATTGTCAAATTTATTAATTCAAGAGTGGAGACCTACACGAATCGAGTTGTTCATTTATGGTTATATATTTCGGGTTTTCAATTGATATATTAATTTTCATGGCTTCCAACAAACTCATTTTCTTTGCTTAATTACATGTGTGCAGGATTTTGAGATTATCTTTACTCATCTTGTGTTTTGATTCTTGCAGATGTTCATACATTGTAGATTTTTTGTCCAAACAGACGTGTTCACGGAGCCTTACGTCAAAATTTCTACCGGTTTGGCCTATATATACTGCAGAGCATTTCCCACACTCTATTCTATATATACCTGATTTTTTCTGTTTGTTTGGGCAAAAAAATCGTCTTTGAAAGATTTATTGATGACGGTGAATTCTCGAAAAAGTTTATGTCAATAGAGTGATGTGACCTCCAATTTCGCGTTCAGTGCTAGAAAGTGTATACGTACCAGATTTTGAAAATGCCGTTCCCTCATGGAAAACACAGACCAAGGAGAAAATTAACACAATTAATCTTATTTGGAACATTTTAGTGATGTTGTTAAGTGTACTGTCAAATAACAGAGTTCTCGTTAGGAATTCAACTTTATATATTTGAATGTTATCATGTTATTTTGAACCATTTTGAACCAAGAAGATAATAGGATAAGTAGAGGTCACAGAGATACAGTTTTAGGAAAATTTTGAATAACACTCAATAGAAATGTTATTATATGTCGACATAATAATTAGTTGGCGTGTATAATGCCCCCAGGTAAGTAGTCCCACTGTGATTTAAAAGTGCACATAGATTATTACAACAAGTTGGTGTATTTTCTGCTGCAAAATTGTCCATATCCAATCCTTTAGAGGAAATTCGATGACAACATTCAATTTGCTTCTGAATCTTTCCGTTGTGGAGAATTTTTTTAAATGAATTACTAAAATACGGGTAAATTTGTGGATTGATAGGGACTTTGTGCATTTTCTTCTTTCTTTGCATTTCGAACACGTCGCTTTTTCATTTCCATTCAAAGTTTCGTCTCTTGTGAACGAATCCAAGCTTTGCCACAAATTCAATTGGTCGGTTCTCTGTGGCATGGAGAAAGTATCAAAGGTTACTGATTATTGTCCACAGTGTGTGCATTTCATCGTGGATTTCAACTGACCAGCGAAATTATCTACAACCATAGAGTTATGATTCGTCAAATATGTGAGCCATGACTCTTGTGCAGTTCCGCTGTCCCTCAATTTTTAGTCAATCTCCGTTAATAATGGTTTAGGTTTCTCTCTTTTCTTTATACAGTTGGTTTTCAGAAAACATGTGAATTTCATCAAGTTTTTCAGAATCAGGAAGAGTACCAAGAAACGAAGCCGCATTCCCTCTTTGGATGACTATACTAATTTTTTGAATGAGAAAAGATCCGTCTCTTGATCCATGAGTTGCATTGGTTACCTTTTTTCCAATTTCATCGATGAAAGATAATGCTTCAGAGCCAAAAAAACCAAAAGTTTCAACAGTTATTAATAATATAATAAATCAGCTAAAATTCTATAAAGAATATACAATTCAAATAATACAAAAAAGTTCAATGACAAACATTGGTTGTATTCCATGAGGGTTCAAACAGTTAGGAGAACATTTTCCTTTCATTATCATTTATATATTTCTTTAACTTTTTTCTTGGGAAAGATTAAATCGAAAGATTTAATCTTTCCCAAATCCGTAGTTTGGAACTTTCTCTTAGCAAGTTGCTAATGTATCCACACAAGTGTAAAGTCCTAAACAATAAATTTACCGTTTTTCCATGGAATAAGTATCATACCATCCGGCCTTGTTCCGTCTCGACAGTATATATCTCTCTAAATTGTATGCTTTCAATGGTACTATCGATAAATGCAATGACATTTCATAACCTCTTTATTCACAACCTTTGGTGATATTCTATAATAAATACATTCAATATTTGTTCTTATTGAAAGTGTTCATAATTGAAAGTGTTTACTGCAGACAAATGGGTTTGGCAATATTTTCACAGTCTTTCTCTTCATAGAACATGTTGTTGGTTTCGTGACATCCTCCAAAGGAATCCGGTACACATTTTTTTTCCAAATTACTCCAGGTAAAAACAGGTATNAATAACACAAAACGCAATAAAAATGTTATTTTTGAAATATCTCCGGCAGTAGACATTTTCTTCTTGATATCACAGAAATTTTAATAATGGAAGTGTACTGGGAACCCGGTAATGTTTAAATTGATGAAAAATTCTCCATATGAAATAAAATGTAGTCGAAAACCATGGTTCTGAATAGAATTTAACGAGCTATATTTTTAAATGGTTCTCGAAGGCTCATGAACCCTTTAATAAAATTAATCAATTATGAATTCACGCCACCCACCAAAAATAAGAAATTCAACGTTATATATTAGCCATATTAACCCAGTCAGCATCTCTCTTGAATGTATGAGATAATGTACCCTTTCTGATGTTTCCAAACTTCGTACTTTTGTTAAAATAATTGTCACTTGGCAACACCGTAATAGACACGATCAATTTTATTGGTCAACATAAGTATAAACAACAAGTATAAAAACTAACTAACACATTTGAAATCTAAAAACGTGGTTATACTGGGAGTTTGTAAGTAAGCTGGATGGGGAGTTAATTAAATGAACAGGGGGGCCAACTATAAAAATGTCAACACTGGAGATTATAGAAATTACCAGAGTTGTCAAACCTGTAAATTCAAGAGTGGAGATCTACATAAATCGAGTTGCTCGTAAAAGGTTATCATCAAAATCAACCCTACAAAAACCCAGGCAATCCTTTTCAGACACCCAAATACCAACCACACCCAAAGCGCCGACAATCTAAATCNACCTAGGCGTGACCTTCACAAGAACCCTCAATTGGGAAACCGACATCAGAGAAACCCTGGACAGAGTCAGAAAAAGAGCAAACCTCCTGAAAGCCTTGAGGGTTAAGCTTGGGAGGTGCAATAGCAAAACACTACTGCACACATACAAAACATACATACGACCGATCATGAACTATAAAGCCATAATCTACAGCACAATTCCAACTATCACACCGCCTACAAACCATCGAAAGCATACACAACCCTCCCTACCGACTCCCTTTCAACGAACTATACAAAACAATAAAACTTACCCCAATAAACATAAGATTTCAGGAACTCCGGGCTGAATACGTCACTAGAACCATAAGAAGCAACAACACTGCAGCAAAAGAGACACTGGCCAGACCCTGGAGGCCCCGCGGGGGCGCGAGGAGGTTCCCAAGGAGAAAACTCACATTTCCCCCAGCCAGACTACTAGGAGCCCTGGAGAGCCCTGGAGGGCTCCTAGTAATCTGGCTGGGGGAAAGACATCCTGGACGAATCAGGTGAAGGACAGGCCACAGCCAAGGAAGACCTGAAACAAACAACCCTACCCATCTTTCAAGAACACCAGAAACAGAGACAGCACACAACAACCCACAAAGAGGACCAACACAGGAATGAAAGAAGACCCATTGGCCCAATCAACATAGGACAACCCACAAAGAAGACCAACACAAGGAACGAAAGAAGACCAATTGCTCCAAACAACATAGGGCAAACACCCAGTGACACCACAACAACCACCATCTTAGATTAAGACAACACAAACCCAATATTATTATTCTTTATGTAAAAGTAAATTTATAAACTAACACAGCCCCTGAAGAGGCACTAGCCTAAAGCAAGGCACCATAGAATGAAAACATGTAAAACTAACAAACAAACAATAAGAGATAAATAAACGTATTCCACTCGATTTAGGGTCATATATTGTTGTGGAATTGGCCGCGGTGGTAGTGCGCCCGACTCACGATCGGAAGAGGTGTAGTTGGTTATATGTAGATCAATTGTCTTTTGAACCACATTTATAATAAACTACTTTTACTGTTATGTTTCCTACTTCTTAATGACGGGTGGTTTGTAGATGCTGACCATTCACACAAATACGTATTCAATAGCGACATTAGTGCCATCACGAACAATGAAAAATTTAACGTACGTACTGGTAGGAATTCTCGACTTGAATTTTTTCATCCCGTGTTTTCTTGGCGAAACTAATAGCTGTATCATCAGCAAATGTTACCTACTCAGTGAAATTCGTAATATTGAAAATGTTATTGGAATATAAAAGAAAAAGAATTGGACCCAGAACCGTTCCTTGAGATACTCCTTTAGTTTTTGGTAATGAGTCACTAATGGTATTGTTTATTTCTACCCTTTGAGATTTATTGGTTAGGTAGTTTTTCAAAATGGTTGTAGATATTATA